TGTGCTTTTGAAAATACGGGTTGTCATGCTCCCGTGACCTTATGCAACTGCTTCGAGTGTGTTCGCCGATGCGGAAATACCGTTTAATAATATTAAAACACGTATGGCGCACCTCCGTGAACACATACTACTGTCATAAAGCCCGTGGAAGGTCTCTGTTCAAAGACACGCTGCAAAGCTGCATATTGGAGAAGATCTGTACACAAGAAGCCGCTAGCTAAACTCTGTTAGCATCAGAGCCGGCCGGCTACTTCCGGCACTTCCGGTGCGCGTCAAGACACCTCGGTGTGAAGACCCCCACGTCTGAAAACTAGAGAATGCGCGTCTGGTGAGCGGGGCTTCAGCATTTCAGCGTTTTCGGTCTGAAAGCACCATTAGGCTTACGCTATGGGTGACTCCTTGAGGCACCTAGCCCCCGCCAGAGAAATCTCAGATCGAATCCTCCAATCATGAGCCAGCTCCTCCTATAAATAGCCCCACTCAGGCCTGCTCCTGCCACTTTGAACTCTGACGCCAGAAGATCTGCTAACTCACCAACTGAAGATTGAAGATGTCGCTGCCTTCTCCTGCTCGTCCGAGTTCCCCTTCGCCCTCTGGCGTCGGACTTAGAAGGTGCAGCGTCTGCCGAGTAAAGCTCCGTCGCAAGGACCGGCACGACCAGTGCTTCCTGTGTCTGGGAGCGCGCCACTCCCAGGAGGGAGGTAGCTGCGCAGAGTGCCTCGCTCTCCCCAGGGAGAGAGAGTGCCGCTTTGCGTATGCTGGCGCCGCGGAGACTAGCCCGGGTCCTTTCCAGGAGGAAGGACCTGATATTCAGTATGTCCCGCTTGACCTGCCTCCCGTACCCAGGGAGTGGGGAGACTGCGTTGTTGAGAACGAGTTTGACGAGGACCAGGGTTCCTTTGTCACACTCGACGAGGCCGTTTCCTGGTGTGAGAGGCAGGACCGTTTCCCGCTGGATCACATGCCCCGCCTCTTTGCAGCATGGAAATCCCTCCCTCCGCAATCCGACCAGGCTAAGGATGACTTCACATTGGTGGGTGCTTCTGAACGGAGGAGGAAGAGGCTCACGCCAACGCTGTGCCCGCGTATGGACCCGGTGATCCACTATGCAACGCGCTATTGGTCCAAACCCCTGACAGCCAAGAGGCCTGTTCTTGGGTATGCTCCCTACTGCACGATCAAGGACTGGTCCTGGTCCGGCGGGGTCCCAGACGTGGAGGACGCGGTCAGACTGGCGCTGCTGCCCAAGTCCTGTGTGTGGCCAGGCAGTATACCTCTTCTTCCCTCAGAGCGGGATAGAGTGAGCATGTCTGTCCTGGACAAATGCTACGTCAACGCGGCTCAGGTAGTCGCGTTGGCTAGCAACACGGCTTTTCTCACCGGAGCGCTGGACAAGTCTCTCGCTGCGGGCCGGGTGCTCAGCGGTGAACATCTGACAGAGGCTAAGACCACTTCAGCGGCGCTTCTCCGTATGACTCAGGCGCTGGTCATTAGGACATGCAGGGGCTGGTTGAGAGGTTGGACAACGCGGCGAAGGACTCCACCAGGCTGGTTCCCCATCTAGTCCCGCGTTGTGAACCAAGCCGCCAGCAATCCAGGAGCGGAGAGAGAGTCAGAGACCGGTCTCCCAGCCAACGCTCTGCTCCTTCCCAGACCGCTGCACGCGTGGCCCGCCCTGCTCCAGCGAGACCCCGGGGCTCGGAGCGGTTTTCCGGTGGTGTCCAGAGGGACCGCCATCCCTCTGGATTGACCCCCATAGAAGCAATGTGTGAGTCTCCTATGTTCCTGCATGACATGCCTTCACAGGTAGAGGGCAGTGTTGTCTCGCGATCAGCTCATTCACATTTGATGGAGAGCGGTTTGCAGCGGCCAGTCCAGACCGCTACTCCAAGTAATAATGAGACTACCGTTTCATCCTCTCGGAGAGGAGTACAGCGGGGGAGTCAGGCTGTTATGAGTGGGACAGGGGTCTTGGTAACCCCTTCTGTCTCACACGGCATCTCCCACAGGGACCCCGTCCCTTTGGATTGCCCCCACTCTCCTCTGGGAGCACCAGGAGAGTGGGGGGCGCTCGGGGAAAGTGCTCCAGGACCTGTACCTCCTCTCACGGATGTTTACAAGTTTTTTTCCCGGATGCCTCCCTCGAGGGATGGGGAGGGGTTCTGGGCCAGAGCTCCGTGGCCCAGAACCCCTCCTGGTCAGACCCGACTCGCCACATAAACCTGCTGGAGATGGAGGCGGTGCGCAGGGTGCTACTGCACTTTGCTCCACAGTTGGAGGGGAGGCATGTGATGGTGCGCTCGGACAACAGTACAGTGGTGGCATATCTAAACAGGCAGGGGAGCACGAGTCCCCCGCCCTCCATCGTTTGGCAGCAGTCATTCTGCTCTGGGCTGCGATGCATCTGCAGTCTCTGAGAACCCGCCATGTTCCGGGAGACCGGAACACAGGGGCGGACATGATGTCCAGAGGGGGCCCGCTCAGGGACGAGTGGAGCCTGGCCCCGCGGATAGCTGCAGAGGTCTGGCGGAGATTCGGTCGTCCAGGGGTCGACCTGTTCGCCAGTGCAGACAACGCTCAGTGCCCTCTCTGGATCATGCTGCGAGCCGCAGAAAATCCGCCCCTGGGGGTGGATGCCTTGGATCATTACCCGTGGCCAGGTGGCCTCCTGTAGGCATTTCCTCCGACTCGCCTCCTACCGGCCCTGCTGAGGAGAATCGAGCAGGAGGGTCAGGGAGTGATTTTGGTGGCTCCGGACAGTCCGCATGCCCAGTGGTTTCCGTTCCTGAAGGGCATGGCGGTGATGGAGCCGTGGGCCCTTAGGAAGAGCCTGGAGCTCTGGTGCTCGGCCACAGAATCTGGGTCTGGAGGCTGAGAGGCACAACCTTGTAGCCGCCCCAGTCAGGAGCTCTTGGTAGAGGCGTCCTGGGGTTGCGGCCTGCCCTTGGTTGCCCGAGGGCGGCGTTTTTAGTGTCCCCTTTAGGAGCTCTTGGTAGAAGCGTCCTGGGACTATGGTCTACCCTTGTTCCGAGGGTGGTATGTATTGCCATTCCCTTCAGGAGCTCTTGATAGAGGCGTCCTGGGAATGCAACCTGCCCCTGTCTCAGGGAAGGTGTTTGCAGAGTTTTTAGGGCGTCCTTGATAGGAGTGGCCCTTTAACTCTGTGATTTCCATTGCCTTGGAAGGCTATCGTCAGTGTTCTTCAGGCGTCCTTGATAGGAGCTGCCTTGTAACACTGCTTATGCTTCCTTTCTCCTGCCCTGAGACCGCTCACCTTGGTGGTGTTGGGGTTATCTCGGGCAGGCCTCCAATCACTCTACCCATAGCGTAAGCCTAAGGGGCATAGCACCATGAAGTAGAATTATTAGTTACCTAATGTAACTGTAGTTCTACGAATAGATGCGTAGCCCCTTAGCTACGGGTCCATCAGGCCAGCCTGGCTTTGGCTGAGTTCAAAGTGGCAGGTGCAGGCCTGAGCGGGGCTATTTATAGGAGGAGCTGCTTGTGATTGGAGGATTCGATCTGAGATCTCTCTGGCGGGGGCTAGGTGCCTCAAGGAGTCACCAGTGGGGTCGGGTCCCGGCTCAAAAGTGGCCAAAATGATGTGCGCTGACATGCTTGCAATACCACCCCGGGCCGATGGGGGTGGACCCGGAATAAGAATTAGCCAATGCTAACATATAGCATTGGCAGACCTCTCGAAAACCTCTTTACAGGATGGTCCAAAAGTTGGCTCTGGCCCAAAGCTCCGTTCCACATGTGTGTCAATGCTGAGGGGAGTTAATTCTTTTGGACCACTCTAGTTTACTCGCTGTGAATTTTTGAAGTCTCTCGTTCAAATGAATGGAGCTTGCGGCGGCTGACGCATGCGCAGATGCGTTTTTTCACAATTTTCTTGTGGGCGGGACCACTTGCTGCCATTTTGGATAGCTCCAGTAGAGCACTATTTTTGGCCCATTAGTTAGAGCGGCGGAGATAGGCGGTGACTACGTCCATTATTTTTTACAGTCTATGGGAGTCACCCATAGGGTAAACCTAAGAGGCCACGCACCTATTTGTAGAACTACAGTTATATTATCTAACTAATAACTAGTAACTAATAATTCACAGCAGCTCACTGCTTTATTTACTAAACATGATGGTGCATCATTCTTGCCGCTGTTTAAAACGCACTGCGTCGCCGCTCATCGCGCATGTATTTTCCGTCCCGTTGCGTAGTGTCTGCCTCTGTCTCAAACAGTACTCTGTAGAGAGTCATATGTCTGTGAAAATGGGCTATTTTTGAACGCTTTAAAGATCAAACCAAAGCTTTGGCTCTCATCCGTCCATAGGCTGCATGTCTCTGTTCATACCCCTACTTTGAATTTGTTTTTCTCTCTCTTTTCTTTCTTGGACTTGGACTGCCTTTTCATAATAACGTAGACCAAACCACGTCCACCTATCTTTCACACTTTCTGGGGCGCGCGAGCCTGCCCCTCCCCCACCTACTCATCTGGCCTTAGTGCAGCCGACAGCAGCAGGATTCATTGATGACGATTTCTAATGTGTTTGTATTATTTAATTTTATCTCAACAGAAAAAAATAAAAATAAATTGCGCCGCATCCTGCAGATGGCGCCCCAGGCGATTGCCTAGATTGCCTATGCCTTGGGCTGGCCCTGGTCGTGTGTGTGTGAGATGCAGTGAGTGAGTGATGCATATTAAGGCGATTCGGGACGCATATTTTTCTAAAATACGGCACAATTCCGCATTGGGACAGTTGGCAACCCTAGACCAGGCTAATACAGAAGGGATCATTATGCTTTTCTCACCTCAAGAGACTGTAGAATGCAACACTTGATTCTAAACGTGCAGTGAAATTAGGCAGTAAGGCTCAGACTGTTTTTGACCACTCACTATTTTAGTCAAGATCCTAAAGAGGCAGATGCACAGAAATATGTCAGGCCCCATAACAAACACAGGGCCATATGCAGGGCCAGCAGTCGAGGGGCTTCAACCAGGTCAGGGAGCGGTTTCCCAGACGGCGCTCCGCTCCTCCGTGGGCCGCTCCTCCGTGGGCCGCTCCTCCGTGGGCCGCTCCTCCACGGGCCGCTCCTCCACGGGCCGCTTTGCGCTCGGCCCGGCCTTCTCCAGCAAGACCCCGGGGTCCGGAGCGGACCTTCGGAGGCGCTCAGGAGCAGCGTTTTCAAAGCTGTCCTCCTCACAGCGGAGGAGGACAGGGAGGCAGGAGATATTTCAATAAAAAGAGAGAAAACTCCTATTTGATGTGTGAGTCTCCTCTGTTACTGCATGACATGCAGGTAGATGATGTGGTCTCTCGCACAGTGCAGTCCCACTCTGCTGGCCCTAGGGACCTGCTGGCTCAGGGGAGAATGCATGTTAAACAAGTGCATTTCCAAACGTCTTTTCCGTTTGCTCTCCACGAAGCAGCTGCTGGAATGCATCTGACCCAGAGACTGGATTTCTTCCATAGATCTGACGGATGCTTACTTTCACATAGCGATAGTGCAATCGCACTAACAGATGCAATTTTGGGCCTATGTTAGTTACTTTAGTTATCACAGTAGCTAACATTAGCTGGGTGCAACAATATTGTGAACATGAAAAATAAGGCTGTTTGCTGTAGAAATTATGTGTATCTGCCGTAGTTGGTTTTAGACCCTTTTTCTGAGCTCACTGTAAATGCCCTTAATGCTAATTGATGCAGTGCAGTTTAAAAGCTTTAGCCCGAAATTCTGTTGCAGTAACTGACCGAAAATCCCAAATAAACTCATAGTGAAAAGAAAAAGAGAGTCTTTGCTTTAGGCAATTCTCTCCTATCACTGGTTTCAAATGGGAATGACATGGCACCAGATGGAAAACTTGTGACTATAAGACCAACACTGCTATTTCCGTTGCTTTTAGTGCAAGTTTAGAACCTCAGGCATCCTCAGCGGACCTCTATGATAATATAAACATTATAAGCATGTATAAATGCAAGGCCCCCAAAGGTGACCAGAATAATTTTGGAAACTGCAGGAATTCAAGAAATCCATTTGTAATCTACTGGCGACATTAGCTCAGTTGATACAGTGTGTGTCCTCTGAGCCGAAGGTTTGCGGGTCAAATTTCCCCCATTGGTGAATAATGTTGTTGTGTCCTTGGGCAAGACGCTTTCTCTATCCCCTTATATTACACATATGGTCTAAAAAATGAATAATTTATTATATTTCTTTACTTTCCTGCATTTAGTGAGCATCACTTAAAGCTAAGGTACCCAACTTTTTTTTTCAATCATCAATTTTACATTCGTGATCCAACAAAATCAAGGGTTAAAGCAAAAAAAAAAAGATTTGACTGGAAATTTCACATGTTGTAAATCACGGTCAAATGCAGGACCAAGTTATATTTTTTATTACAATATATTATTGTGTAATGAATTGCAGATCAAATGAATTCTTCAAAGATAAACATTTAAACTGGTGTTTTTTTATGTGAAATTACAACAAGTGGATCAAGCAACTAATAGTGAGAATAGTTGCATCCGCAACATTGGCTTTACTTGAGGCGAAATGGAGCGTCAACACTTTGGCTCTGTCCTCATCAAAAGGACATTCAAAATTCTGTCCACATTTGTTTGGGGACTCGTCAATGTTTAAGAAAAAGGTTTCCCAATCAACTTGGTGGCTAGTGCACAGTGCACTTTGATCAACCGCAAATTATCTAATTAAATCTACCAGCGGTGATTTTCTGAACGACAGGTTATTTTTTGGGATAAAGCCACAGACTCTTAGTTTTTGGTCACAGACACGGTCCACCATAGCAAGCCTAGTCTCAGTTGTCGCTGATGCACCAGGTAAGGACAAACTGTGGGAAAGTGCACGAACAGCTGCCTCGTGCGCAGTTTCGAGCTGGTGGCGAATCAAAACTGTTTTCCCATTACTCCCATATAGAATTCTTTTTATGGCAAAGTACCCACAAGCACCGGCCACCTTCATCTTTTGCACCATGACCGCAACAGAATCCCTTCGTCTCCCTCCTCATCAAGCCATGGCCACCTCCATTTATTTTTCACTCTGTTATCAATTGCTACTTGTGCTCCTTCTTCCATAAACAACGAATGCATGATTGTGATTGTGTGTACATGCTAGGCTAGCTTTGATAAATTAATATAAGGCCGCGTCTTCATTTGCGCGTGAGGTCAGCGTCCCATTGCCTTTCATTTGCGGAGCGCTAAAGTAGCTATGGCCACGGCACATTCAAGTCCCACTCGTGATTATATTACTTTTTATTTATATATACAATACATATAAATACAATTATATTCATATTATATATGTAGGGTGAGAAAATGTCGATATCACACATATTTTAAGTTATGTACCTGATATCGGAGAATTGGATAAAAACAACCATGTAATAAATACAATAATTGATAATAGCTTTATTTAGGGGCACCAGGGAATAACTCCCAACTGATAACGTGCATATGACGTCACAATATCAATTAATTGGCTCATTTATTGATTAAGTAATCTCATGAGTCCTTTCATTATTTAATTAGCTAATTAGTCCAATTCTCTTCAATAGAATCTGAAGGTAGGGAATTCTTTTACAAATCAGTGACCCTATTTCTGGAGTTAAAAGTACAAATATCACTTTCAGACAAAGATGGTTTTGTAGATTTAATGAAGTATACACACTACAGACTAGATATAAAATATGCAAATTGTCAAGAATAACATGAAGGAAATGTTGATTTCAAGATACATTGTTAAAATGCTAGGCTAAGGTGAGCTAAGCAAGACCTTTGTCTATGAATGGATTGGTATAGGCTGAGGCCTGCATGTGTTCAGCCTTGGTAGGAGAAGTATTCTTTGAAGTATAGGTTTTAATAAAGCCAACAACTGTGTGTAGCAAGAGCGCAGATCATACAACCAGAATAGCCTTGGGTGAATAGCAGTCCTTGGGTCTTGATGGCGTTGGATGGAGGCTTCTTGTCCCCAGGGCCTGGACCATGCGGCTGCATCATGTGGTTGAACCAAGTCCTCCCACGATCCACAGTCTAGGTGCCAAAACTCAGCAACTTCTTCAGGTTGAAGCTGGAGGCTATTGAAGGGTTGTGGAAGTCCTCTCAAACGTGGAGCTGAGGTTTGAGGCCATCTAAGAGGCCCAAGGCCCTTTGGTTTCCTGAGCAGAGCCCAGGGCAGAGCCCAGGGAGGTCTGGTCACTCCGTGGTTCCAAAGCAGACTGGTTTGTCTTTCCTTGTTGTAGAGTCGTTGGGGGAAGGGTGTTGCCATGGCACTTATCTTAAGACATTCTTGCCCACAATAAAACCTGAACCACAAGGATTTACACACAGTGGAGACAGAAGTTATAAGATGTCTCAATATACAACAAAATGTCTTTGATTGAGGAAAGAGGTCATTTTAATTTATCCTACATATATATATATATATATATATATAACAGATACACACGTATATGTATCAATGTATATTTTTATAATTAACCATTTCATCGTGTGTATTATTATAAAAACAGATTTTAATTTATTTCAGACCAATTTCCATTAACGGAAATCCGTCATCTAGACGGAACTCTTTAAGCCCTGAACAAAATAGAGCCATGTGAGTCACTTTTTTACGCTTTAGGCTGAAAGCTGATGTATGTCCTCTCTTTTTTCCATTTTGTCTGAAAAAGCTGAAAAGATTTAAAGATAGACAGATCTGTTGATAAATGAATCATTTATTTTTGAGGGGATCAGTACCTGATCCCCTTAAAAATACAATAAACATGTACATACAATAACAACAGAGGCCAGATGGATTTGTATTACATAGTTCAATATTGGGTGAAATCTCCCAATACAAAGGGGAGGGATTTTGTTTTTAATAGCTTATTGATTTGATTTATTTAACAGTGCAGAAACAGGGTAACTTTGGCCCACTCAGCTCAAACTCTGGATGTTTTCTTAGATAGAAAATAGTATTAAAGCCAGAGCACGAGGTGCAGTGTGTACCTGAATAAATCCAATTTCCAACACAAATGGAGTCCAGCTGTTTTTGACTGACATCATGCTCCTCTCGTTTCAGTAACCATGCCGATATGTCAGTGAGAAGAGCAAGATGTGCACGGTCTGAAGAGATCCTATGAAGGGAAATTCCAGACAGACGCAGACCTGTTCTAATGTTTAAACTCGAGGCAGATGGTCCAGTGTCTGTGGCTGCAAGCACCGTACTATTATAAACATCACAATGAGAAAGAACAATGGGATTTCTAAAGATGAGTTTGAGTGGCATTTTGAATGTTTTAAATCCATTAAGGAAAAGTAAAATGAAGTGATCATCCTCAGACAGCCATTTCTATGTCATTACAATGCAAATCAATTAGAATTTCAATGCGGCCATCTGCATGTCAGACTATATACTTTTATATCTGTTTCTATTCACCACTGTAGGTTCAGCGTTTAAATGGACACCTGCTTATTTTTCAGCAATCTCTCAAATGTTGACTCAATTATACTTGCCAATTAAGAAACAGATTTAACAAAGGTTGCTTACTGATTATACAGAAATATCATTTGGTTCACCTACAGTTATAAGTAAGTAAAGTTTATTTGTATTGCGCCTTTCACAGACCAGGATCAATAAGCGCTTCACATTTAAAACATACAGAAAAAATAATAAACATAAAAGTCAAGTTTAAAAACAAAGACACAGAAGACGTTTCTCATCATGAACACAGTTCTACGTCATGGTGCTACGCCCCTTAGAGCTACGCTATGGGTAGACTCTTTGAGGCGCCTAACCTCCGCCAGAGAGATCGAAGATCCAATGCTCTAATCACGAGCGAGCTCCTCCTATAAATAGCCGAGAGATCAACACTACTAACCTGAAGAATCGAGATGTCGCTGCCTTTATCTGCTTGTCCAAGTTCCCCTTCGCCCTCCGGTGTCGGACGAAGAAGGTGCAGTTTGTGCCAGGCGAGGCTTCACTGCAGGGACCAGCACGACCGGTGCTTCATCTGCTTGGGCTGGCGCCGTTCTGCGGAGAGCGCTACCTACAAAGCGTGCCTCTCTCTTCCCAGGGAGGAGAGGGAGCACCGCGATGCTTATGCCAGCGCCGCGGAGGCTTGCTGGCACTGGCTGAAGCGCAGTATGTCCCGCTCGACTTGCCT